TAAAAGCAACACATACACAAAAGGGCATCTCACATCACTAGGAAATAGGCATGAGTTAGCAGGTGTTAAAAATGCCATCCTGGGCTGGAGAAGTGGCTCTATGTGATGACGAGAACTGGCTGCTCTTCCAGAGGACCTGGGTATATTTCCCAGCAACCACATGGTAGCTCATGACTATCTATAGCGGGATCTGATGTCCACTTCTGGAATAAAGCTGTACATGCAGATAGAACTCTTATACATATGAGAAGAGAGCATATATAATATACTAATAAGAATATTATTAATAATATCTATTAAATATATAAGAAATCTTTTAAAAAGGACATCTATATTTCATGTTGCTACTTGTCAAAGAAAACAAAAGCAGTAGGGAATCTAAAGCAAAGATGCCATTAAATACAATTCCAATAACTATTTAGAAAGACTATTTGGAAGACAGATCTGGACATGACCTGTGCTAGAATTCAACCTTGTACACTTCCAGTCCTGACCAGCTCTTAGCTGTATGTTTGGTTTTACGGTATAGTGTGTGTTGGGGGGCAGGACGAGGTGTCTGCTTTTATTTAGATATAGTGAAAAAATTTTAAGTTCCAGATTCTGTCTTTTAAAATCTCCCCAGAACATCTCAGAAAGCCCGAAGGTCACATTTACAGACTAGATGCTGAGCGGGATTTGAGGGAAGCGGGCCTGCTTAAGCTTCAGGCTCCCCCACCTCTTATTGTATCAGGCACGCTGTTAATACGTGCAGTCTAACGATCAGTCCTGGATTATGGAAACGAAATCCCTACCTGACACACTCGTAAACAGCTTTGTAGGTTGGTTTTCGCGTCCTCATTTCACCATCAGAGACATTTGAAATTCACAAAGATTCCCCCAGCGCCTCATTAGAGCCCTCATCTAAACAAGCACTACTGAGCCACTCAAACCAACAGGGAGGTGCTCTCCAGAGAGGAAAAGAGCGGCGCTTTTCACTGTGCTTTGTTTGAGCTGGCGGATGAGCAGTCACACCATGAAAAATTGATGATGTGATGGGATAAACGGAAGACTCGGTGACAACAGATAGAAGAGAGGCAACAGCACTTCCAACGGCAACATGGACAGGCTATACTGCCATTGATCTGGTAACCATTCTCCTAGAGCTATCCTGGAGTCTTTCTGTGTGGCTGCTTATACCGCTCGACAGTTTCCTCAAGAGGAATACTGCTTATCTGTGGGATTTCTTGTAGTTCCCGGGGCATCTCATGGCCGCACTTAACTTGCTGCTCATAATCCATCAAGAGGCATAGAACAGCAACCACTATCAACAGTCTATGCATCTGTACAGAGGACAAAGACGACGTTCCCACATTAGGTGCTTTCAAGCCAGCATGAACATGGCACTGCACTCTTCTTCCTTCCAGATTTCTAGGTTAAAACACTGTGTGTACGTGTGCATGTGAGCAAGCATGACACACACACACGTGCGCACATACACACAGAGAGACACACAAAATAAAAACTGTAGAAGAGTTCTTGTCTCATAAACATGACCACTCTGAATGCTAAACGTGGTGCCATATTCCTATAATCCCAGTTCGTAGGAGGCCAGGCAGGCAGATCATGAGTGTGAAGCCGGCCTGAGTTGCAAAGTGATTTCTAGGCCAGCCTGGAAAATGGCAAGCTGGGAAATGGGTCTCAAAAATCCCAGACCAAACCAAGTCGAAACAAACAAGAGTTCAAATATATTTCCAGTATTCTTTTTGAGATGGGTCAAAATGTGCTGGGATCCTTTGTGTGAGCAGACAAGTATAAAACACACTAGTTCAGATTGCAGAGAAAATGAATTAAAGAGTTCTGCTGCTGTACAAAAACAGACCCTGAAATGGACTGTTTTAAAGAACCAAATTCTCTAGCAATTTTAAAATAGGTGGATTAATGAGAATCTGATTCATGTAAAAAAAAATTCATGCATACATCAGTTATATAAATCCATACTCATATACTGTATAGAGGACAAAGAGTGATAATAACACACTCATATATAGTTCTCATTACATATTTTAAAGAGATTTCCACTAATTTATTGCATTTGTCTCTGTCAAGCTATTAAGGCGAGCAGAGACAGTGTTATTTTTTCTGTACAGATGAGAAATCGAGGGGTTAAGTGACTTGCCCAAGGTCAGACAGGGCCCTCATTCATCCACTGCTCTGACTGATGGTGTTTTAACGGGGTAATAGAGGAAGTAAAGTTCTTCCTCCTATTTTTTTTTTTGAACAGCTGTGAAGGCTATTAAAACAGAAGTAGATGATCTCACAAATACAATGCTGAAGGAAAGAGTCCAGACACAAGTGTGGACATACTGTATGAGTCGATTAGTGTACAATTCAAGTGCAGACAAAGCTAACTCATGATGACACTAGTCAGAACGGTGGCTGTCTTTGGGATGGGGATTGGGGACGGGGGGGGGGCACAGAAATTTCTCACTATTGGTCTGGGTTGTACATTCCTTACATTCATTTGTGAATAATCACAGAGATGTACAACAGGTTTTAACCAGTTTGCATATTAAAGAAACGTTCACTTAAAGCAATAATTTCCACTTTTAAAAGAGATCATCTATAAATTCACTTTAGAAGATCATTAAGCCCACAAGTCCTTGGGACATTTGTGATTTCATTTACATTGCTTGGCTGCATCTAGAAAATGAGACATGAACTCATCTGAAGACTTTAAAGAGAAGGGGAAAGGTTTATAGAAAATATGCCCAATATTTATCTGCATTTGGGGAAGTTTTTATATGAGTTGGGAAATAGAAGCACAGTGAGGTAACAATATAATTCATTTAGGGCTAGGTGAAACACTAATATTTAATGACTTAAATTAGAAATGAAAACAGCTTAAGTAGGGCAGGCACTTAGCTTATGTAAGGTCCTGGGTTCAAACTCTGGCACTCCAAGAACATGAATAAAAATAAAACTAGAAACGGAAGGAAAGTGAGATTATGTATTGTTCATATACTCTATCCTGGAGAATAGACAAACAGCTAGGGAAAGCAAGAATATAGTTCTCCAAAGCACCCGTTAAGTTAGGAATACCATATATGTTTAGGATGCTGCATCAGGGGTCAGAGTGCAAAGAGGAGCCAGAGAGAGATACGTCTGCACAGCCTTGGGGTGCACAAGGCCTCCCAAGAATGCCAAGTAGATTTTGATGTAGGGATGAATAAAAGGAGTAGGTTTGGCTGAGCCCCCAGGCCAGAAATTATAGGTGCCTAAAACAATTTCAAAATGTATAGCCTACTCTTCCAAGAATTCTTCTTCCACTCTGAAACTGCACCATGCTACTAGTGATAAATGTTTTATAATTTCCTTTTAAAATCTAGACCAAATATATATCTTTATCTTACAGGCCATGAATAGAACAATTTCTGCGTGGTGGTGCAACTCCATCTCAGGGGCTTTCATTCCACCACTAGTCAGTTCCACCGGCAGAGTGGGTGGGCTTTTCCTCAAGCACTGCCCTATAAGGCTTCTCCTGCAGCAGGAAGCCTGTTCTCTTGCTAGTTTTCATGTTTACTTCAGCGTTCGGCTAGCTGTTATGCTTCTGTACATCTGCTTTTCTAGGCATGCAGTAAGAACTCTTCAAATAAATTTTATACCCGAACTATCTGCGTGATGCGAGCATGGACATGTAGACTTGTTAGGCTCACTCAGTCTACATCCCAGATGGGTGTGAGCCATGCTCTAGATCAATCTTGGCTCACTTCTAGAAGGATCACTCTATGTTTCCCAATAAGGTTAAAAAAAAATCATGCAGCTGGTTAGAGCAGGTAGAGAGGAAGAGGTGGAGAGCAGGTTGAAGATGTGCCCTGTAGGCCTCAACAAGCTGACATGACTTTTCTACACTGGCAATGAATTAACAAATCGCCAGGAACCGTGATTGTTGTGTTCACACACGTTCACACAGCATCATTTCACCGTGTACTCTGCTTTTGCTGACGGTAGAAATCCCAAATTTCTCTCTGGGTGGAGCCCTTCAGCAAAGAAAGAAACACAAACAAAACCAAAACCTGCCTCTTTCTATGACTGTACAAGGGTTTTTGTGTAAGTCCCAGCTGTCTTCCTGCCCCTCACTTTCCTGCCCTGGGGTTACAGGTTCAACACCAGCTGGGGCTCTGAACTCATGTCTTCATGCTCTTCCCCACTGAACTATCTAACGTCCCAGTCCGACAGGTTTCTTTTAGAACTAACAGGCACGTCTCTGAATTTAACCTCTGTTACACCAACCTGATTATGTAAGCTCCTCTAACCTGTTCTACCATTCTTTCTCCTTATCTTTGGAACTTCTCTCTCTCTCTCTCTCTCTCTCTCTTCCGCCCTCCCCCCTTCCTCCACCCCCCCCCCAGTATTGTTTCTAGAGATATACAGTTGTGGTGGTTTGAATGACAATGGCCCCCATAGACTCATGTATTTGAATGTTCAAAACTCATTGGTTGGATTAGAAAGATTAGGAGGTACGGCTCTGATGGAGGGAGTGTTTCACTGGGGGTGGTCTTTGAAACCTCAGGGTAGGCCCAGTCTCTCCCCCACCTTTCTCTCTCTGCCACCTGTGAATCAGAATGTAGCTCTCAGCTCCTTCTCCAGTACCATGTCTGACTGCATGCTGCTATGAATGTGAATCAGAATGTAGCTCTCAGCTCCTTCTCTAGTACCATGTCTAACCGCATGCTGCTATGCACCATGATAATGGACTAAGGCCTCTCAAACTTTAAGCCAGCCCCAATTAGATGCTTTTCTTTATAAGAGTTGCTGTGGTCATGTTGAGTCTCCTCACAGCAACAGAACCCTTGTGATCCTTAACATGTAGCAAGCAGAGACTGTTCTCTTCTAGCTTTCAGAAATTACTGTGTCCTTTATGGCTCATGCAAAAAGGTTGATTACTCACTCATAAACTTGACCATAGTTTTTAACAACTCAGCTTCTATTAATTTTATTAAAAAATAAACTGAGATACGTACCATCAAGCCTTGTTCTCCTGGTTTCCCTGGTTCACCCTTTAAAAAAATTAATAACGATGAGTCATTAGAAAGTGTTTAAAAATTTTCGGCTATCTTCTTTTCCTCAATACTTTCTTGGTCCTGTGAATGTCAAGTACATTTTTTTTGAAAGATTAAATAGACTGTAAATGTGATAACAAAGAGCTGATCGTCCTTCTGTGACTGTATCTTATAAGCATTTGAGTTTAACAAGCTTGGTTTAGATCATCCTGTGCTCCCACGCTGATACAAAGGCAGAACCACTGCAGGCCAGGGAATCCCCCTTTCCATACTCTTTAGTAGAAAAATGAGCAGAGGCTGATTTTGAATTTTGCTCCTTTGCATTAATCAGACATGTTTATTAATACTGATAGAGAATGTTCTGCTGTTTTGTGTGGCTTTGTTTCACAATGAACAGGTTAATATGAACTTACTATTGTGTTTCATTATCACACCATATCAACAGGCTCTGGCTACTGGTTTATAGAGATCTGTGCCTGTATTTCCAATATGCATAGATGATGATGGCCTTTCAAAAATGAGTATTTTCCAGGTTACATTTAAAAACTATGTATTTGTTTCTATTCTATGTACGTAAGTGAGTTGCCTACATTTATGCATGTGCACCAAGTACACAGTACCCACTGAGACCAGAGGAGCACACTAGACCCCCTGGAACAGAAGTTAAAGGTAGGGGTGAACCATGTACTGGGAACCTGTGTTCTTGACTGTTGAGCATCTCTCCAGCATCTGTCTCACTTCTACAGAGAATTTTTTCTAGTGGTTATGATAGTATATGGAAAATTCCTCTGAGCCATTATAAAAGACAAAACTATTTGTGGAATTCTTTAGTTTATTTGCGCTTTGTGTGAAGGCTCCCATCACCAGAGGTTGGCATCTGCTGTCTTCTCAGTTGCAGCCTGACTTTTGAGGTAGAGCTTTCACTGGAGTTGAATTCCACTGATTTGGTTAGACTGGCGGCCAGCAAGCACCAAGAATCCTCTTGCCTTGCCTTCCCTATGATGGGGCTACAAACTTGATGTTGGGGTTTAGACTCTGGCCTTCAAGTTTGCATGGCACTTACCTACTGAGCCATCCCCCAGCTCCCTTATCTCTATCTTCTAATAATAACATCTAGCATATATTTGCTTCTTCTATAATATATAATTTTGATGACCTAGCCATTTTTCTACCAATCACATGTTGGACTATTTCTTTGTTTTGGTTCTTTTTAAAACAGATTTCCACACTGTTCTCTAGACTGGTAGAACTCACTGTGCAGTCCATACTGGTTTTTAAAACATATCCTCAAGAATATTTCTTTTATGTATATGTGTATTTGGCCTGCACATATGTCTGTGCACTATGCGTGTTCAGTGTCCTCAGAAGTCAAAAGGCAGTGGTAGATCCCCATGGAAATGGAGCTACAGACAGTTGTGAGCCTCCACGTAGGTGCTCAGACTCAAATCTGGGTTCCATGGAAGAGCAGTCAGTGCTCTGAACTACTGAGCCATCTCTCCAGTCTGCCCATGCTGGTCTTGAACTTATAGCACTCTTTCTGGCTCCGCCTCCTGAGTGCCAGCATCACAGGACTGATGTTGTGTACCACCATGCCAGCCAGCAAATGTTTGTAACTGAGTATTGGAAGACAGCGACTATGGTGACTAGTTGTCAGTGAGAGCTGTCCATCCCCTGAAGCCACGGAAGGCTCTCTCAAGAGCGCCAGTCTAAGAAAATGTCAGACATTAAACAGGCAGGGTTAGGATGAACCGGCCACCTTCAAATATTCAGGGAAAGCATCCCCAATGGGCAGTTTAGCCTGTTCCTGATTTCATATGAGTAGACACACAACCTTCAGAAAGGAACGTGGGGCTTTGGAGAAAACGCCAGCAAAAAGGGATAAAAGGCCCTGTATCTTCACACATGGATTGATTCTTAGAAAAGCGATACAAAAATATGTGCATTAAAAATGTCAAGACAACATACAATAACATTAACAACCATGGTTGATCTCAATTTTTCTCCCCCTGGGTTTTATTTTCAAATATTTCTACTTTGTTAGAAAATATTTTCATCTTTACTTTTGAACTAGAACATCACTAATAAAAACAATTTAAACAATTTATTAAATAAAAGTTAACTCAGCAGTAAACCTTAATTTCTAGCCCTGGAATTACAAAATCAACCCAGTCATTTTTTTTTATCTTGTCCAAATATTCCTTGAAATGGTGGGTTGCATGGACCAAGTCATATCATTTATCAGTGTCCCATGTTTTTGTTATTGCTATAACTAATTCTAGTGTTGAGATCATTTAAAAGTGGTTTCTGTTAGATAAGCCTCAGATGTAAATGTCAAGTGATAATATGGTCATACCCTCTGGCGCTTAAGTCATTAATCTGTTGTCACAAAACATTCTTAGCCAAGTCATTTGCAAGGGATCAGTATTAGAAAGCTCCATCCACTTGCCTTCCATTAGCAATGTGGAGTTTTATTGTGTCCACTGTGGGCCTTTGAGAAAACAGGATTGATAGCTGGCTTCGTTTTTCTCGCTAATAACCCACTTTACACAAAAAGGCAGTGGCGTACTCAACGGCAGGCAAGATACAGGCAAGACGGGGCATTTCTCTCTGTGTACGTCCCAAAGCTCACCTGAGATCCACCCAGGTGCCGTCTTCAGGTCTCTGGCTCTTCTTGGGCCCAGATATGAAGTGAAACATTGCTGGAGGGCCCTTGCCTCTCATCCCACCTCCCCAGCCTTCTCTAGTCACCGGAACTCTTGGCCCTATTGTCCCTTGTCACCTGTTCCATCTCTCTCTCTCTCTCTTATTATTAAAGATTTCTGCCTCCTCCCCGCCACTGCCTCCCATTTCCCTCCCCCTCCCCCGGTCAAGTCCCCCTCCCTCATCAGCCCGAAGAGCAATCAGGGTTCCCTGACCTGCGGGAAGTCCAAGGACCACCCACCTCCATCCAGGTCTAGTAAGGTGAGCATCCAAACTGACTAGCTGGCCTGGGTCTGAAAAAGCATGGGATAAAACCAGACTTGCTGAACATAGTGGACAATGAGGACTACTGAGAACTCAAGAACAATGGCAATGGGTTTTTGATCTCTCTCTTTTTTTAACCCCTAAACATGGAACAAAATATTGGAGCACAACAATCCAGGAAGAAACTCACGGGTACTCCTGGCATCCCTCGGGGGCCATCTTTTCCTGTGTCCCCAGGTGGGCCTCTTGGACCAGGAGGGCCTGGGGGTCCTGGAGGCCCTGCTTGTCCTTGGTCACCCTGGAAGGGAGGAAGGGAATGAGGCAACAATAATCATGAGCGATTAACATTCAGGTTCCATCTCAGCATTTTAAATTCATATTATCTAATCTACATTTACCCATAAGAAACCAGGCCACCATAAATATGAAGCCGACTGGCAAGCTACCTGTCAGCAAGGAGCAAGAATTTATTGTGGGAGAGCCAAACAGATGCTATGGAAACCTAAGCAGCTCTCATCCCCGCAGCACGGCTCTCGGAGTGCACTGTTGATTACTGTATTCAGAGCCGAACAAAGCCCTGTTTAAGGGCAATGCTCTATAGGATACATCTACCCTGATCAACGGGTGGTTGCATTTTTAGTTTGAAAATATATTTGTTCACAGAATCAAAGATAAAGCAAAATGGGCTCCGGCTCCATTGCATAGTAGGTGTATAATTTATCAGAGACAGAGAGCTTGGGAAACATGTCTATTGCTGATTGCAATTGAAGCTATCTTGATTTAAAGAAAAGAACCAAACCAGGTGGGCTTTCTATACTATAAGTCACCAAACACAACCCTATTCTGAGATATTTACAAAGACCCTCCCGCCCTCTGTGCGCCATGCATAAGAGATAAAAGCAAAGCCGCCGTGCCCAGGACAGTACTTGAACGCGGAGGAGAACGCAGACTCCAGCAGGAAGCAGCACTACCTTAATCAGCCGCCGTTTAATGAGCTGCTGATCAGCAGAGAGAAAGCCATGATTGATCTTAGGAAACACCATCTGATCAGTCAGGAGGTCAAAGGTTGAAGTTCAGAGATGAGAGAGTTGAGGAATAAGCGTCAGAAGGCCCCGAGAAAGAAATAAAGATATACACATTAGATTCATAATGACCATCAAATAAAAGGGAACTGGCACTCATGTCTGACAGACCCTCAGCCTCTCTGGAAGAAAGACAGTCCTGAAATGGAACGAGTCCTGACTTTTTATTAGAATTGAGTACCTTTAGTACCCTTTCATTTGGGTGTTGGGGGGGGGGCATGTTTTAGTGCATCCACTCCTAGAAGCGAGTGAACCAGAATGACCTTGTATTCTGCACCCTGAGTAAAAGAGTCTGCAGACAGAGCACCAGTTCCAATTCCGTCAGATCTGTCAACCAGCATAATGTGGAATGAACCAGGGATGGACACCCCAAACTTAGAATCCTTAGAATTACATGATTGGCAGGGAAAGCATCATAGAGCTTTGGAATATGTGTGAATCCAGCCACGGATATGAGACTGCCTCCTGGGCAGCCATGCTTTTGATTGTCATTGTTCTTGTTTAACTTCACTATCCTCCTCATGAATGCTCAGGAGGTTCTCTCTTAGACCAGGTCCGACCTCCCTGGTACACCTGAGGTCCCAGGTGCCCAGCTCAGTCACCTGGCAATAGGAGCAGAAGCTGGGAAAGCCCATGGACGGTTCTCGCTCACGCTTATGCTGATTGCCGTTCTGACCGAGTAAGCGTGAATATCATTCACAAACCTTGACGGTGAGGATCTGATTGCTGTGTAGGGCAGCAACTGTGGGGAAGCCTGGCAGGCCCTATGGACGTGGCACAACACCAAAACAACACGACACAAAACGTCACACAGACATTTTACCGGTAGACAAACAAAAACAAGGCGCATGCGTAAAACTCCCCCTTCCCGCTGAGGTTCTGAACACACTTCGACATATATCAGACACAAAAGGCTTCCAAGTAAAACAGCCATTCCGTAAAGCATGGAACGGCCAGGCTGCTGACTCATTGTGATGGGATATGCATTCATGTGTACAGTTTGCAGCTCTTAATGTTTCTGGAATCTTCTTTTTAAAGGGTTAGTAAAACTGGAGATAACTGTAGACATTGCTATGACAACATTCTACCCATTGGTATTCTCTTTACAAATTAGGACATACAATACATATAGCACACATATTAATTCTTTTATCCACAACAACAGTGAGCAGAGTTTTCTTGTCAGGTTGGAAGTATTTTTCGGAACAAACAGTTCGCCATGTAAAATAAATGTTACTACCCAACAAATCAAAATTCCTCTCTGTGCTCATGGGATGGATCTCGGGTCTCTGCCCTGGGTTCAGGAACCTTTGTGAGGTAGTAGATGGAAATCTGTCTCTTATAATGTATATGTCACATCAGAGTGATTTACAGTCGCACTTTACAGTAATCGTTCTATCACGTGACTGTTCCAAAAGAATTGGACAGATCATACAACCCCTGAAGACAGAAAAGGCTCAGGATTCCTTAGACAAGGAGAGTGGGGGGTGGGGGAGGCTGCATGGGCCAAGACTGCAGCCAGTGGCATCAAGTCATCCTCACAGCGGTACCAACTGGGAAAATCTGAAAGAGAAATTTTGACTTTGCTCCATTTCTTAAAAAAAAAAAAAAGCCACTTGAAATTGCAGCCTTTTAGTCCCTTTTAAACTATAGAACATGTTTACTATATAAGTTAATGACAGTCCAACAATGGATGGCCTCAGTTTCTTCTGTCTGTTCTACCCTTCAGCTTGAGGATGTGTGTGTGTTTATGTGTGTAATATAGATCAATACAATATTAATTATATTTTATATTATATATAATATTTATATATTAATTATATTTGTGTGTATATAGATAATATAATTGATATATAATAGATATATAATTGATATATCTATATACACACACATACACTAATAAATAGGGTTAAAAACATTGCAACTCTTTGGCATTTGCTAAATATGTATATCCATATAGCAAAGGTCAGAGATTGGGGCATATGTTTTCTTGTTTGTTTGTTTTTTATAAAAATTAGTAAAATGAGGTTTGTAGCATGAAGATGTGCTTCAGTCCTGTGGATTCAGCCTTTGGTCCTCACCGCTGAGCGCTCTGAGTTCTCAGGAAGCTAAGCAAAGGAACCCTCACCCCTTGTGCCAGATCTGCTCTGATAAGGCATGAAGTGGCTGGGTGGGTTTGAGGTGACCTGTGTCCTCTTCTTCTCCCTACATGAAGCGTCGACTCTACACAAACCCAGAAATGCCACGAGGTGGAAAACAGATGTGTACCATTTGCTTTTGTTTTTACTGTGGAATATGAGTTTAAAATGTTATTAGATGGTAATGTGCCAGGATCTGTCCATCTGTGACTCATTAGCCCTATATTACACAGTCAGAATTTTATATGTAAACCTCATATTTATGTAAGAGAGAACAAAACCAGATACAAACACCAAGTCTAGGAGGGACCAGAATCTTGATTAGTGGTGATAAATCACACTGTCACTTGAAGCATGATTATCTAACGCAATAATTTTAAATTAGAAACCTTTTAACAGCACACATGGTAGGCCTTTCAAACGTTCAGAAATTTCAACATATAAATAAGTCACCTCTCGTATTCATATCTGAGCAGGACCAGATTGTCGTCTGAGCATATTTGCAGCAGAGTCACACAAAAGCCCTAAGTTGGGTCACCTCTTGGTTTGGGCTTCCAGGGAGAGCTAAGAGGGAAGTGGCCAGGTAGCTCTGAAATCAGAAATCTGCATTTGAAGCCCTTTATTTTGCATTACTGGCTAAGGTATCTCAGTCACATTAACTGTGAAGCGCTACCCGGTGGGATTAAAGCTGAAATTTAAAAGACTTCCAAAATGACCTCGGAGGTTATCTGTAGCAGATTAAAAAAAAAGCACACAGAAGGATTCTAGCACAATCCTAAGACTCTGTGCTTCTCAAAATGGGGGGAAAGGGACCCTAAACGTTTAAGTTAGTTTTAATTAATAGTAAGCATATAAAAAATTTTACCGTAAGGCTTTTTTGTAAAGAACTGTCAACTAAAAAATTATGCAGTAAAATCACCCAAGTTTTTTTTGATGTTAAACAAATATTGTTATATTATTATTATATTGGATTAGAATGCATAAGTTTTAAGACGTGTTACCATTTGGGGGGTGATACTGCATCCCATTGTAGAGGGCTTCATCTACTTTATAGGCTGACTGTGCTTCTTATAGGATGGTACCAAAGCATTGGTGCTGAGCACCCAACTTGAGGACCTGTCTTTCTATACTAGTGACTTCTAGGCTCCCCTAGCTGTTCATGCAGATGTGCACTCTTAGGCAGGCCACGTCCCAGCATTAGTCACAGCCCTTTCAGTAGTGAAACGTAGACAGCTCACTCTGCTTTGCATCTCATATAACTTGCCTGGTACACAGATGGTTCAAGTGGGCGTGGGGGAACAAAGGTGCCTCAGAAAAACACGGTGAAAGAATCCAGCAATAAGCTGAAATGTTGGTATAATCTGAACATACTTTCACCCCTAAATATTTTGAATTCTTAAGGAACGAGATGCACACGTGTGTAATACAGGCCACCTCACACATCCCATGCTCGCACCCGAGAGTGCAGACCCTCAAGGCATCCATCACTGCATCTTCCTGACATGCAGTAGCTACCTTCCCAGTCACTGCTCAGCCAGCATCACACGAGGACTGCCAAACCCATTGTCACCCCCTAGAGAAACACACTTTGTGCACATTTACACTTATACAAATAGATAAGTCATGAGAAAGGCTTCTGATTACTTAGTAGCCGTGAGGCCTAAGATGCCATTATCATTTTAATTGTAACTGTATATTCAGTAATGACAAATATTACATCATTATATTTTAGTGAGAAACTTTGTTTTGTCAAAGATAGCCAATAAGGCACTGATAGAGACAGAAACGTCATCCTAGATGTCTACTTTCTGATTTTTAAACGTTCTAGTTTGTGTTTAGGATCATGTCTTTCTATTTGTTTCATTGTTTAATACTGGAGAGCTTCCAAACTGACAGCAGCGCATAAGTAGCCCTTATTGACTGCATTCTAGGTAGCACTCGGTGTGCCGCATCATGGAGATTTAATGGCAAAGAGGGTCCCAAGCTCATAGCATTTAATACCTAAGAAAGCCGAAGAAAATAGGTGGGCGGGAACTGTATGGGTTGATAACTACTATGGTGGTAGACTAGGAAGACCAGAACCAGGCACTGTGACAAACATTTGTCATTCCAGCACATGGGATTCTGAGGCAGGAGGATCCCAAGCTGAAGTTTAAGGCGGGCCAGGTTGGGCTATTTAGCAAGACCTCACTTCAAAGATAAGCAAGCAAGGAAGGAACTATTAAAAACAAGTAGATGATCAATAAAGAGGAGTAAGATTTGCACCTACACCCAGGTGACATTGGTCTAAGGGTAGAAATGAAAACAGAGAGCTAAGGAAGACCTGAGGGAGACCTAGTTCAGCTGCATAAATGTTGTAGGACCAGGGCAGGGACCAACCAGTACTTTCTGGTGTTGTTAAAGAACAAGAGTTCTTAAAATTTGCTCCTTTCTTAAAGAGGAGAGTGAGAATGGGGATTAGAGGGTGCTCACGTGCCTTCGCTGGAATAACAGAAAGGAGGTAGAGGTGATGCAGGGGTCAAGTGGGGGCTCGAGGCAGATGTTGCCCCAGATGTTGAGCTGACATGGATTTGCTAAACTTGAACTGAGTAATGGGATGGTAATTGGATATGCTCATGAAAGAAGAGAGAGGCTTGTGTGTCCACGTTCGGCACAAGAGCAGAGGTGGGACTATTGGGGTAGAAAAGCAGAGCAGCTGGGGGGCCAGGGGACAAGAAAGGGCAACAGCGGTGAATAAGCAAAACCCAATGATATACATATGTGGAAATGTTGGGGTGGAATCCATTAAATTTAGGCCGATTTAAAAAAAAACGAATGAGTAAA